TGATCCACTGCGCATATGGTTCGCGTGCCGTCTCCATAATTGCTCATCTTCTGTCAGAACATCATATACGGCTTCTCTGTAGCGTTTCTTCACGTGTGCTGGAATCCATTTTTCATATCCGGAGCGAAAGTCACGAATCCACACAGCCTCTTGTGGCTGGTACGTTTTTCTTTCGTGCTCCAAGGTGGCGGTTGAAGTGCTTCTCCATAGTTTCATCCCCCCATTCCTTCTTCTGTAAAGTCTTCGTTCAGCAGCGTCTGCGATGTCCTCATCTGGCGTCCTAACAGCAGCTCGGCAGACGAACGTTGTCCTGCAGCAGTTGTACAAGGCATCCGTCGATAAGACTGCAGAAACTCCGCAAGCTTCTCTGCCGTTCCTTTCTCCTTAATTTTCTGAAAGGTTCTTTTGCAGATGTCCACAAACCTTTCCACTTGTCCGTTTAATTGCAGATGAAACGGGGGTGAACGTATATGTTTGATTCTTCTCTCTTCACAGAAGTCCTGAAACTCTTTTGCTGTAAACTGCATTCCGTTATCCGACACGATCACACGTGGATTTCCAATCGAACGAATAGCGATCTAAGTTCTTTTAGGGTTGCTGTGGTTGACGATGAAGGCATCTCAAACACTTCTGGCCATTTCGAGTAAGCGTCAACTACGACGAGATACATCTTACCACTCATCGGCCCTGCGTAGTCAATGTGAAAACGACTCCATGGTTTGTCTTCCATTTTCTATTTCATTTTAGCGGCTTCTTGACATTTTCTACAGCGGCGCATCGAGTCTTCAATGTGTCTGTTGATGCCCGTCCAGTATGCGAATCCTCTCGCGAGCACCTTCATTCTTGTCATTCCAGGGTGTCCCTCGTGTAACCGCTTCAAAACCTCTTGTCGCAGCTAGACTGGAATGACTATGCTGTGATCAAAATACAAACATCTTTCTGACCTGCTAAACTCTCGCCCAGTGCTCTCCGGTTTCCGATTTCTCCTTTCGGCTTGGACGGCCATGCTATCGAAGCTCCCGTATAACCTGCGAAATGACTTCGTCCCTACGAGATTCTTCTTCAATCTTTCTCCTGGTTACCGGTAACGCTCGTATAGCGGCGGCTTGAACGGCTTGCACATCTTCTTCTATCTGCTATCACAGCGTCCTCGGTTTAAAATGGCCGTGGAGGAATCAATCGAGACAATGCATTGGCTTGTCCAAAATCCGGCGTTGACGCGTAAGGCACCGTTCGCTTTTTCTTCAAGACTGAAACAGCATCGCTCTTGACTGATTTTGCCTCACTCTTTGCGCATTTTCCCAATTGCTGTCGAAGACTTCGCCTTATTTCTTCTTTAACTCGGCGACCACTTCGGCTCAAATTTTCTCTTCGCTAGTCACCTTTCTGCAATGGTAGTTGTCCTTCAGCTTTTTGTATGCCGGCAGCTGATGCACCATTCCAGTCCTCGAAAATTCGAGCTTTCCGTGACTTAGCAAGTTCCATGTCCATAGACGGTTTTTCCTGTGACTCGGTCCTTGTCCTTAAAATCGGTCGAAAATTTACCATATATCTGCATCGGCGTCCCGTCCGCAACTTCACGGGCATCACACAGGGTTCCAGAGCAGGGAATCCCATTCTATTCCAGGCTCTGCGCGATACTAGAGTCATACATCTGTATCTGCACCTGTGTCCAATTGGAGTTTGAGGGAGCAACCTCTGACCACGACGTCGAGGTAAGTCCGTTATCTGTTCTTTGTTTGCGTTCTCTGTGTCAAAGGCGACCACATTCTTGCACTGCCTTCTGCGACCAAAGTGTTGGGCCCTTGTCCGTCGCTTCTTCCGACCATCGTTGACAGATTGTGGGCACTCTCTTCTGAAATGTAGTCCAACGCATATAAAGCAATTTACCTTTTTCTTAAATACCGCACAGATACTGTGTGTGCCATCCATGTCGGTATTATCCATTTTCAGAGCTGTGAAATTCTCACAGTCCGTGACCATGACCAGGTCTTCGATTGTCAACTGTGCTTCGTTCGTGTGAGCGACTAGTCGACGAATCATCTGGAAAATCGAGCTCCAAAAAACAAACTGAATATGGGTCTAAAGTGCACGAATGGAACGCATACATACGATTTCGATATTTGCAACCAACATGGTCATAGATGACCAATTTCAAGCGATTTGAATTGCCCCAAAACTGACTTCCACGCGCGCATATCTGAAAATTTTCACATTTTTGGCTGCAGAACTACACAAACATCACATTACAGCTGCACTGTGGTTCGCTATGTAGCCAAACGTTGTATGTATCCAGTCACTAAACTCATCTGTGCACTTACTAAAAGCTGAGAACGAGACTCGGAAGTTCAGAAAAGTGATTTTCTAGAAGGCTACCTGCTGTAGAGCTGTTCAATGTAAACTAGAACTCGCTTAATACCTATGTGGCTGCGGCGTACCCGCCGCACCTTGACATGTTTACGTATCACTATTTCTATCATCAAATTGTATCTAGTGATCCTGCGGCATGTACGCCGATATGTATAGGAAAACCTTTGTGTTTTTTAATAAATCGTCGCGACTTAACGCGTTCCACCACAACGATCAGGACCAAGGGCAAGAAGCCTCCACCGACCAAGGATCAGAAGCCTCCATCGATCAAGGACAAAAAGAACCGCTGCTCAAATCGAGGAGGAAGCATCACCCTTCGAGAAACTAGAAAGTAAGCTTTACTAAGAAGTATGGTTTAGAAGCATTGTCAACACTAAGAGGTTTACCGTGCCGAGAGCTAGTGGAGAAGAACGGCATGGCCATGACTTTCTGGAGAAGGTCCTGTCAGTCATGGTCAACCAAATGCGGCTCCAACAGAAGGAGATGAAACTATAGATGCAGCTCCTTCAAGAAGAACAGATAGACTGCAACTGCAGTCTATCTGTTCTTCTTGAAGGAGCTGCATATGCAGTTTCTTGGCTCAAATGCAAGCTCAACAGGAGCATATGCAAGCACAATGGCAAGCTCAGCCCGTTTGGAATTCGATGTATACCGTAAGATGCATCTTGAAATGCTGACTCTAATTCTGCGCTCGGTATGTGTAACAATCCTCTGAAGGAAGTTATGAACTTTTTTCCGTAGAAAAATTGCATACCTTCAGATAGTCAAAAAATTGTTCTAACTAGGGAAGGATACTTGGTGACCGTGGCCTTTTGCAATGAGATGTATACCAGTAGGTGCGTCTTGGAACGCTGATTCTGAATCCATGTTCATTATCTGCTGTGCGACTCCGTGAACGAAGTTATGGACTTTTTTCGTATTGATTTTGCGAGATCTAAGTATTCAAAATCGTCAGTAACCAGGCTTTTTAGACTCTGATGTATAGGTGACAGTTTTCCTGGGCTTAACATGAAGCTTTACTCTATCTGTACGCTCTCTTGTAGTGTGTGAGCGAACATTCAAACGATATCGTTGAACCCTGCATTAAAAACAGTGAAAATTTTGGCGACAAAAAAAATGTTTATAACTTCTTTCGGAAGAGCGCACAGCAGATAATGAAAACAGATTTAGAATCAGCGCTTCAAGGTGCATTTGATGGTGTACATTTCATTTCAGAAAGCCGCGGTCACCTAGTATCCTTTCCTTGTAAGTTACCGTTTGAAACTATTGAAGAGAATCTTACAAGGAACACTATTGTATTGTACCCATTTAAATCAGATTTAGCGGAAAAGGCAAGCAAATTTTGGACTCTTCACAGTAGTGCAATTTATTCATGGAAAAATAATCATACTCAATTCATCTTATCGTTTCGCAGATATGGAAGGCAGTGTTCGAAGCGTTTTTTGACATACAAATTAATATGAATGGTTACGGTCACCAAGTATCCTTCCCTCGTTAGATGAGAACGTAGCTCGGCAGCCTGTAAATCTTAGGCCTGCAATCTTGTTAGACTAACATGTGATTTGTTTCAAAAAGAGCAAGAGAAGCGCTTTTCAATGATACAAACTTATCAAGTTAGAATTGAAGTCCTCTCAGAACACCTGTTTCAAAGATAAGGTAAAGAGTCAGATAGAACTTATGCAGCAACCTACTACTTCGTTTTACGCTTTTTATTGTAGAACATTAACCGGAGTTTTTTTCATGACAAAGGAGACTTTGCGTTTTTGCGAAGCCGAAAGATGCTTTCTATAATCCTAGAGGAAAGGTTGCGTGTGTAAGTTTCAAAATGAAACAACGCACAAGAACCAAATTCCCCTTTCCCCTTGTTCGTTCTGCAAGGAAAGATACTCAATGACTTGGTGTTTTGAATTATGATATGCTCAAATCTATGAATACTATATCTTAAATCTTCCTTCTCATCTATTAGAGGTCTTCAAAAAAGGTTAAAAGTATTGTGTTTCAACTCGAGGGTGACAATAATGCCTCTGTGGATTGTGTTTCTTCTGTTCTCAAGCAAGAATTTTTTGAAAAATCTGAGGCTTTTTATTTGCAGTCTACACATAATTCGCAACGAAGAAGTTCTAATCAATGATCTCAACAACATTTTCGTATCTCACCATATATAGAAAAATATCCTGCATCCAGTCTCTTCAACTCATGTCAACGTAGAGTTGTTGTAGGTATAATAAAGCGAAATCAAGCTAACAATGTTATGTTCGTAGAAGCTCTCGCGTTCACACCAGTTGGGATCTTCGTGTATTTACCTATTCGGACTTGAATTCGAAAGATGTTTTGGTAATGCTGAGCTATCAAAAAGAGACATATTTGCTTTGCAAAACCTAAGGCTCTGTTTTCACCAGTAGTCGCATTCTATTATATCTTTGAAAACAGATGGGACTTCAAAAAAGAAAAACAAGTTTTTAGATTTTTTGAAAATCAAAGCTTTCGAGTTTTTTTTATGATTACTTCGTGAAACTGCATCACAAATAAACTGCATGACAGATAATTTATTCTGTAAAGCAAATTTTTAGGATGCTATTATATACTCCGGTTTGCTAAAAGATGCTGCATTCAGCTCAACCGAGCACATATCAGTCTGAGCGCATATAATTGCGATATAACGAACATGTGACGCAGCAGCTGGCGGTTTCTGTATCTTCATTGCAGTCCATCTTCTGATACGCAAGCTGCACTTCACATCTCCACGGATCCGAATCTTCACAATCAGGCCTTTGAGTGTATTTTGCTCTATGTTTCCTTATTGGTAGCAAATAGAAAGACATCTTGTCGTAATTTTCGTAATAAGCACTGCATGTGCACCCACAGCGAGCTTTGTCTTCATCTTTGGCACAATTCAGCTGGCGACCCAAAAGAAGCTGTTCGCATTGCTCTTGTCCCTCATTATCCTTGCAACCATCAAGAGAGAACGTCAGTTTCGGTGTTTTCATACGTTTCATGTCCTTTTCGTACGCGTAGTGGTCTACCTCTGCAATTCACACTTACAATCTCCAATCATGACTCGAGCATTGCTGGATTTATGAACCTACTGAACTTGATTTGGCCAACGATGTTCCATTGAAAGGGTATTGTGTAATGTGCACAAGATAAATTTAATTCTCAGTAGAACATGTCACATGTTTGTAAACAAGCTATGTATGTAGCTGTCAACTGCGCTTAAGTGGTTCCAAGTAAAGAAGGGCCTATTATCTTGCAATGGAGTAAAGCTAACATTCATTTCCAACATTTTACAAGCATGCTTTGATGTGGATTTGGCTACGCATGCTCTACCGTGCTCATGATATAGACTCTTGTGATTTGTGAACCGCTTCGTCGAATTTCGCATCGCGGAGCCATATGTCATTTCAAAGTGGACAAATTCTGAGGATCACCATCGGACTTAGTTCGATTTCCATCATCTAATGTATAAGCCCCGTAATTTAAATATGTCACGATACGTAGTAAAAACTTGTAAATCCTTTCAGATTTTGCTTACGGTAAGTTGCAGTGCTCAATCTCTGCACAATGACTAACTTACAAGTGAAAATTTTTGAAAGGACTCTCAAATTTTGGCTGCCTGCAATGCGACTTTACCCAAGCAAGTACGATATAAGGCTGCTGCATGACGAAGGCGCAGAAACAGCATTAGTCGAGAGGGCGAGAACGCAGCGCGCGCGTGCCTTCACCGTTGTGAGCCTGCGCTTCATGCGCTCTGCGGCTAATAAAACCGCATTGGCGCATAAGAAACTGCGCCATAGTCCTGCAATAGTCTATATGTATATATGTTATAGAAGATGCACATTGTCGAGGTGTGTGTGTGTGTGTGTGTGTGTGTCTGTTACGAAATTCGTACAGCGTGTTCCAGCCAACCTCCTAGGCTCAAATTTTGCATAGCGCATGCCAACCGCATGAAAATTCAATATGCAAAAGCACGAGCAGATTCGTTGAGCGGATCCCTCAAAAACTGCGCGTCAAACGGATTCACTTTGCATTTGGGCCGCAAAACTGGGTCCGCTTGGTCAGGCTGCCCTCAGTGTTCATAGCCTTCGATGTCTTTCCAGTCTCCGGGGCGGGAACACAAGATCAATATGTTGTACAACCTTGGATAGCATCTTGTGTTGTCCAAGGTTGAAGTAGGACTTGGTTTCCGAAGCCGCTATATCGGTGGCCTCAATTTTTGCTTTTTTTGTGTGTATTCTATGTGCAAGTAAATAAAAAAACAGTTCTATTATATCCAAGCTAGAATGAACTAGACGGCACGATAACCAGCTTTGGCTGAGCCGCGGCCCAAAAGCGAACGAGCCGAGGCTGTTTTCCGGCCGAGCCGCGGCCCATCTCCAGCCGAGCCGCGGACGCTGGGAAATTCCAGCCGGAAAAGGTTCGCGGCTCGGCCGCTCCCACTGTCTGAGTAAGGCGTTGCGACGCGAAATTTCAACACTCCTGCGACCACTGCGGTTATTCTGTGCAAATTACGAGCGTACTATTTTGTCATCCAAATTTGCACCAAGCTGTGTGACGTGCGCCACTACACTACACAATCTGGCGGAACCACTGAAAGTCTAGAAGGCATTTCGCAATAAGAGAAAGTTTATGATTAACGAGTACTTATGCGAAAATGCGGCACTAAAGTTGGAAGGTATCCTCCCCCCTCCCCCTATCATATAGAAGACATTTTCTTACGTATATCTTGAACACTGAATGAAAATGGAAAATGATCCGAAATAAGAACCAAAGGGAGCAGCTTGGACCGCTTTTACCTTTGAAGGAAGCCACCATTTAAATGAAGGGAACAAAGCTTTCTCACCTGTTCGATTCAAATGTTCTCCCAGCTCACGCAGCCGAGTTATAAGCCGACACTGTTGCCACGTCGAAAGTTTTTAACATGTTGACGACAGTGCCGCGCAATGGTGCGGCACTGTCGTCAAGCCTGTCTCTGTGGACGACGCCGCGCAATGGTGCGCGGCGGCCTTAATTTCAATACTATCTGTCCAATCCTCTCAGTTTTGTTCATATAATCAACATAGGCTCAGATGTACTTCATGTAATAGCCCCGCGTCTTTTGGCAAACTCCGCCCATTTCTATGCCTCTCACAAGGACCTTTTTTGTCCACTAAGCATGGATGAGGCCGTAGATGAACGCAAAGACCCTAAGCAACTTCTAGTCAGGCCCCACCCACCGTCAGACAAACTCCGCCCCCTGAGTGGCAAACCCCTCCCACTTTTCAAAAGTAGTGGAAATGGCATAAATTCTTGGAATTTGGGCAATTTCCGACATTTTTGGTCGAGTGGGCGGAGGTTGCCAGTGGGGGCGGGGCTTGCACATTTTGTACCTCGTGCATGGATGCATGCATACATACATGGGCCACGTGCAAGGGATGCACGGAAACGTCTCGTCCGCAGGGACAGACCTCAAAAAAATGGCTCGTCGTCAACGTGTTAAAAACTCACAAACTTGAGCGCATGTTCCAAAGAACAATGGACACAAGCAACATTTCGTTGGACTTTACAGCACGGATGTAAGAATGATGTCCCGTCTTCGTGATTCAAAGCAATACGTCACGAAAGCGAAACATCGATGGGCCAATCACATAGTGAGAAGAACGGACGAGAGTTGAATATCAAAACAACTACAGGGGTTCCGACCTGAGCGTCACGGTCAGCGCGGCTCGGGTCCTCGCAAGCTGCCTTGCTGTGTTACTTGTGCCTCAGGGCTTTTTACGAAGTCATTAGCTTTGATGTTCAAGGTATCCGCTGACGCCGAAGCATCGAGTGGGTCAAGCGATTCGGGTCCTCGCGAGGACTCGAGCCGCTGCAAGCGTGACACTCAAATTCGTATCTGCTATTTCCTCGCGAAGCAGTGCGCCTCCAAGGAAGACCCCAATGAGATGAGCAGACGTGTTGGTAGAAAGGGCACCAGCTGTGAGATCAGCTGGCCTCGACTAGTGCACCTTGAACTCTCGGACGTAGTCCGAGAGTTCAAGGTGCACTAGTCGAGGCTCCAAATAGACGCTGAGTGTTAGAAGCGGGGGGGGGGGGAGGGGAGGGAGGGGGCAGGGAACAATGAGAACTTTTGTGCTAAGGCCTGCCGCCATGTAAAGAGGGACCATCTGCGTGTCTGAGAAAGGATTTGCAACTGACAAATTAAAGAAGGACTGAGCTTGAGCAATTACTTAAGTTCAATACTGTGCCTCCAACGTGCTAATTCATCAAAAAGCTGTTAACTTCATACATACTTACTTCCGTGACATGTTTCACAGCCATAGATCTTGCAAACCTTCAAGTAGTCCATAGAAGTACCGTCCGAGGCATTACCAATCACATCCTGAAATAATCATTGATTCCAGCATACGACAATGTTTAAATTTCGCTCTGACTCCCTTATGCCCTCCAAGGTCAGTGGTGTTTCAAAATATTTGACCTTTGATTATCCATGTCTCCCATAAAAATTGAAATTTTTTTCCAGAAAAAATCAAAGTAGACTAAAAGATATTTATGGAACTGAACGTACATTTGTCTGTACGTCTGTAGGTATGTATGTTGTACGTATGTTCCAAATAAAAAACTTTTATTTCTGAACCGATCCGGACCAGATTTGGCATACATACATTATATGGCGGGGCGGATGTCATAGGATACTTTTCGTTATGGATAGATATCGACTTTATCATTTTTTTTGCAAAAATTGATTGAGCTATGGGGGTGGGAATGGCACAGGGGGATATGTGAGCATAATGATTACGAATACATTGTTGATAGGTCCGGGCGGAGAAGGGTTTGACAGCTGGTAGGTTCTATAGCAAAAGACGCTGCTTTAAAGGCACCGCCCACCCAAATTCTTGATTTCCATGTTTTGATCGTTCCGAGTCTTCTTACGTCCCTAATTCCATACATGAAGTTGAGAATCCGCGAAAAACCCCAACAATCCCCGTTCCAGAGAACCCGCAGGTCAGCTTTACGGAACGATGTTTGACTGAGCGCGCACGGGTGGGCAGGTATAGATGAGGAGGGCGGTAACGTCTGGGGTCCTCTGCGTCTTCGTTATTCCGGAGCGATTTTCTCGCTTCCGAAGCGACGTGCGCGATTGGGCAATGACTTGATAGGGGGCTCTACTGTGTATCATATACTGCCAAAAGCTCAAGACCCTCAACTTAGGGTGGACGGTGCCTTTAGCGTGTAGTCGAATATCAGTCAGTTATCGAGAATGTTAGATGCAAAAAATTGATGAATAGATAGAGAAAGTCAATTATTGAATAGATATTGTATTCGTATTAACTACGCCTACCCAGTCTTTCCCTCCCGCCAATTTTTAGCACCAAAAGCGTGAAGTAAGGGAAAATTTGATTATTTCAGTAGTTCGATTTAGCCTATATCAAACTACGTTATTAACAAAGTACCCATTCAGAAGAACAAAATACCCATTCATTCATTTTATGTATGCGAAGTTTGGTTCTGATCTCATAATCATTTCCTAGTAAAATTGGGTCAGTCATAACAAAACTGCAAATCAAAAAAACGCCGGAAGTCAATGAATCAAAGCGAACAATAGATAATTTTTGATAGGAGCTTGGTGACAGCCGTCCGCCTCGAAGCTCATGTATGCGAAGCTCGCTTCGGACCCCATAATCTTTTTAAGCACTTTGGGCGGTAAAATTTTTTTGCAAAACAATCAATAAATCGATAAAAGCAGTTGGTAACTTGAACTTTGAACAAATTAACTTATGAAATCGCATCATTTCAAAGTGTAAATAAAATGAGCTATACCTCTCCTGTCTAGCTATCTGGTAAAATTAGATTATAGTTGCAGATAAGACATTTTCATTCAAGTCGAATCTCAATAAAAACGAGAAGCGCGCAGCAAATTGCCGCAAAGGTAGCCTAAGCTACCCTTCGGTGTTCAGAACACATACGTCTTTGAGCTGAGTTAGAACTTATTCTACTCAGAGCGGAAAAAATTTGCTGAAAACGAAAGCATCAATAAATAACCCTTGAGTTCGAGTAAACAGGCTTATTAACATACGCCCTACCCCATACATTTTGTCTGGTAAATTTGGTTGCGACTCCATGATCCCTCCGTCTTTTTCGGGAGGACGTACAAAAATTTTCTAAACAAAAACTGAATCAATAAAGTCAAAGAGGGTCTCGATAAAAATGATTCATTAACACACGTTCTACCTCATTCATTATGACTGCCAAATTTGATTCAGATTCCATACCTTTTTTAACCTTTCAAATCGAACATTAAAAAATTTCTAAGCAAAAACTGCTGAAAATCAATGAATCAATAGGGGCAAATCGTGTGTCTCGAACAAAAAGGCTTATCATACGCCCCAGCCCATTCAATTATTACTGCCAAATTTGATTCAGATTCCACTTTTATCCTGGGCAAACATACAAAATTTTCTGAGCAAAACTGCACGAAATCAGTTGATCGATAGAGTCAAACGGTGGAAACGAAAAATGACTTTTAAACGCCCCACCCTACACATCATGTCTGCCAAATTTGGTTCAAATTCCATGACTCCTTCTATTTTTTGGGGGCGAACTTACAAAAGTGTCTAAGCCAAATATTGCATAGCATTAATAGTCTCCCTATCCGAGGTTTCGAGGTTCTGGCTTCAGAAACTCCGATTTACAACGCTAGAAAATTGAGCTTAAGCTAATTTCTATTAGCCTCAAACAAACACATGGATTTGGCGATTTCCAAAATGAGGATAGACAGGATGAAAGTAGTCAAGAAAACAAAAAGAAATATTCAAAGTCAAAGCGCATGTGAGGTTAGCCTATCTCGCATTTTCACTCCGTTTTCATCCCTCTTTTCGTTAGCGTTGAAAGCATTATGTTGTTCATCATTATGAGCGAAAACCCTTGAGCATATCGACATTTTGAGTACTCGTTACTCACTATGAGACTTCGGTTGGTCTAGTCGATGCGCTATGATGTTGATTATCATTCCTTACTTCTACGCAACATCTCCCCGTCCCTGTCCCATTTCCTCGCCAGATTCCTGCCTCCACCGTGTTATGTGTTATACTTAAGAAAATTCGAAAATTTTTACGAATATTTGATATGAACAATCTTCGAAAATCGAGATTTTCAAAAATTCGACTTTCGAGTAATATTCAAGTCGAATGACCTTCTAATTCCGAAATCGAGCATCATTTGATGAAATATTATTCAAGTAAATCGCACATACATATGATGAGGAAACGGCTTAGTGATACATCAAGAGACTTGAGAAAGTCAAAGCTTATTCATATGACGGTTGCGAGGAAATTTTCAGCAATTTTAGGAAGATTGCCATTTCATATTGTGGCGTCCCCGATAAGTGAGATCGAGCAATTATTGCGATATAGAGATGGCTCATCTTCCTACTGTTCAAGGTTGCACGGGGACCATCCAAGCCTACCTTACCTTTCATACCTTTCATTGAGTGTTGTATGTTGGTGCAAAGCAAATCCCAAAACTATGTGGATTTACTTGATCATAGTGTGCATGCCACCCACATCTTTTGCCGAAGTTAGCTATCATTTCGTAGAGCTGGCTTCTGCTTAGATCTACTATGGAGCAAATTGTCGATCGCTACGGTAGCTAAAAACTCTCACATCCGGCATTTAGTCAGTGACTCTTAATATTTAATTTGCACTCAAATGCAATGCTTTTTCACAACTTATGCCAGATATACCGCAAGAAAAGTTACTGTTCTCAAAAACAAGATTTCACAAATAAAGAGCTTGAAAAACTCGTAAAATTGTGTAGTATGTGATCAGCATATGTAAAGATGTGCTGCATAAATTTATTTTTCCAGAGGTTCCTTCAAACGACATATCTCGAAGTGGTTCTCTATGCAAAAAGTTCCTGCCATAACCTCACAACACTCAGAAGCTGGGTGATTCGCTTTGCCAATGCGTGTTGCAAATGTAAGCAGAAGCCAGCCCTACAGAATGTCGTTAACAAAGGCCAGCCCAAAGGTTGGCAAAAGCGTTCGTAAGAGGAACGCTAGCGACCAAATAGTGTGTAGATTTTTGACCACTCTGCAATGCTATGGTTATCGAATTTTTGATCATTCGATGTTCGTTTTCGAATATATGATGAACATCGAATGATCGAATTGATGATCATCGAATATTCGGTTATTCAATAATATCTGATTTTCAAACATCCGACGTTCGAATAATATTCGAAAATAAAAAAAATTTGAATATTTGAATTTTTGAATCATTTGCATTTAAAAAATTTATTCGAATAATTGAATAAATATTCGATTCGGTCCAGTGTGTGTGTGTGTGTGTGTGTGTGTGTGTGTGTGTGTGTGTGTGTGTGTGTGTGTGTGTGTGTGTGTGTGTGTGTGTGTGTGTGTGTGTGTGTGTGTGTGTGTGTGTGTGTGTGTGTGTGTGTGTGTGTGTGTGTGTGTGTGTGTGTGTGTGTGTGTGTGTGTGTGTGTGTGTGTGTGTGTGTGTGTGTGTGTGTGTGTGTGTGTGTGTGTGTGTGTGTGTGTGTGTGTGTGTGTGTGTGTGTGTGTGTGTGTGTGTGTGTGTGTGTGTGTGTGTGTGTGTGTGTGTGTGTGTGTGTGTGTGTGTGTGTGTGTGTGTGTGTGTGTGTGTGTGTGTGTGTGTGTGTGTGTGTGTGTGTGTGTGTGTGTGTGTGTGTGTGTGTGTGTGTGTGTGTGTGTGTGTGCAGTATATGTTCGCTGTTCGCAGACGCGCTTTCGGTTCGTGCGAGACGGCAGCGTGGTTCCCACTCGCTGGAGCTGCGAGATCACTGAAAGATCCCAATGTGACAAGACTTCTTCGCAGTAATGGCTAGAGTCTAAGACCAGGTACATAGCCGGAAAAAATGTGGAGAAAGATGGAGAAATTATATCATCAGTATACTCAGAGTGTTGGGAGAGGACTAACCTGAAATTGTGGATCGATTGTTTTCATGGTAATTGCCTCCTTATCTATTCCGAAAGCCGTTTTCTCGTATGCATGATTGAATTGTAATCGTAGGGAAGACCGAAAGTGGCAATTTTTTGTGGTTTCAACTTTTTGTACTGATCTGTTTCATTGGGATCTGAAATATGCTTTTTCTGGCCAGGCAACGTTAGTTGTTAAAGGTCAAAATTGCTTCCGCTCTATTCATTATTGAAACTGTTCTTGTTTGCTCACCGATGTTCTTCTCGACAAGTTTGACGTGTTCATCGCGATCGGGGCGTTGATGTTCGTGTTCGAGTCCCACTGCATGAAGCAGCTCGTGAAGCACTATTTTTACGGTCATGCATCTGAACATCCGCTACCTTAGGCAATGACATAGCTTGAACCTTTCTAAGGCTAGTTTATGAACCTACAAAAGATACTGAACTCCATGCAAGTGGAACAAAATATAATCCTAAAGTATAAACTTCAACATTCAAACTGATATTGGAAAAAGTTGCGCTCAAAATTCTATTCTAACCGTTCTTATCACCAATGGCTGTCTGAAGCAAAAATTTGACTGTCACTGGTGTCTCCTGTGCTCTATTTTGATTTATGCACTTCGAAGCTTATCGGATTCCTGACAGCCTTTCCGCTAAAAAGCAAAAAAGGGCTCGAAACTCTACTCGGACGTTGTCTTCCGTAGTATAAACGGCTTTGCATATGGTTACCATGTGTATCCATATCGCTGGAGATAGCACAAATTGTATCCTATTGAAAACTTATTTCTCCAGCTAATTTCGTTTCTGGGTTTAGGCGTAAGAGCTGCTGCGTTTGTTTTCAAGTGAGATTGGCTCTTTGAACCCTGTATGATATGGGAAAACCAAAAGTTCGAAAATTGAAAAGTCTCTTTCATCTTTCAAAAATGTGAGTGATCACCTCACAAAGGTCAACGACAGTGCCGATCATTGGCTTGGGCTATACTCTTGCTAGCTTTGTGTTAATTACACATGCATGTAAATAAATTATTACAACCTCAGAGACCACACAAAACTTACGTTTCTTCGCCTTCTTCGGTTCGATGGGTTTTTTCAAGATTCAAAATCATTGGAGTAGTTTTGTTAACTTCTGTGAAACATCTAAACGAAATTGCTCTTCCATAATTACGCCTCAAGTTTAAATAACAAGTTTCTTTTTCGGTTACCTCAGCGGCTCATCTTCTATCTTAAGAAAATTCTTCTCTCCTCTCCATTCTCTGAATTGAATGCACGTGTTGTTTTGAATGTGCGCCATTGCGGTTTCAATATAGTTCATCTCTTCCTTTGCTGTAAAATAGTGTTTGCCGATTTCAGGGAACGACAAGTTCAAATTTACCAGACTGTCCTGTGATGGTGTACGGAACAATGTAAAATGGACCTTCTCGTTGTTCCCAGGGGCGAAAATCTGTTCGAAGGTTGAAGGTTTTGTACATTCCATGACTTTTAATGAGTTGGCTAAAAAATAAATTCGATCGTTTTTAGCGGTTTGTAGAATTGTCACAAATCAGTTTTTATGTGTATAAATGGTACCACTGGAGAGAGCAAATCAAGGAGAATCGGAAGATTGACTCTCTTTTCTCAAAAATAATTTTTCTGATAATGAAATGGTGAAGGAAAGAAAATTAGTCAGGTTTTTTTCCCCAAAAATTCGAAAAATCACGTTCCGAAAAACGAACTGAAGCCAGGTGTAAAGTGTAAATTCGCTGCCCATACAACAAATTTTTGAATTTCCAACTATCTGCATGGCTATAGATGGCCAAATTCGAGTTTTCTGGAATGCCCAAAATTTGACCTTCCAAATGCCTGGAAATTTTTACAATCTTGATTGCAGAAATTCAGAAACACCAGATCGCAATCTCTATTGTAGTTCACCACCTAGCCAGAGGCTGTACGTATCCAACCACCAAATTACTCGCTTTTGTACTCACTGCAGGCTTAGAATGAAAGTTAAAAATTTTAAAAAAGCAATTTTTTAGAAGCCTGACCATATATGGTTATAACTGTCATTTTTGATAACAGAATACCTTGACTATTTGCTGTTCAAGAGTGGAAGCTTGTGGCTATCTTTTTAAGAAAAAATCTTAGCTGAGTAGTTGTTACATGAATAGTTATGTGTTACATGAATAGTTATGAAGTTTTGAATTTGCATATCAAAACGAACTTATTTATTGGCCAACCTAATATGAAGGCAACTCTATCGTAAACTGTTAATCTGTATTGGATGGAAAAACTCAATCAACCCTAAGGCGAAACAAAAAGAGATTGCACAAGCGGAAAAAGCGTAAGCAAGGTACTATGTTCTGCGGCGAGCGTGCGCAGTAATAGCACACTTGTTTTCTGCTCATATTCGTCAATTTCTAGTTGGTAGATGCCAGTACTTTGCGCGCACATGGGACACCTATCCATGACTTTGGAGGACACCGTGACTCCAGGCTGAGAATTGTGAAATATACATGCTTTATAGTTGGAGCCTAACTGATTATTCGCACAAGTCTTGTTGCGCGTAAATCAAAAACGAAAATTTGCTCCGAAAGTCGCAAAGGCCAAAGTGGCTCCGCCCACCAATGTGGGTGATCTGAAGATGACAAGTCCAAAATGCCATCCATTTATTTATCAAAATTTCGCCGTTTTTGTCCATCCAAAATGACCCAACGAGCTCCGCTATTATACAGCATCAAAATTTCACCGCCCCCAATTCGGTGTTTTCAAGCGGTTTTAACTTCCAAACTAAACCAGTCCGGTGACTAGCGATTACTCGGCAGCTGCCTTCTTCGACAACAGTGCTTACGTCTTTCTGGGTCGTTGCCCTCGTACATCACCTCCCTTCTGTTGAGAGAGTTTGACAGGTCTCACCTAAAAATGTCTTTAAAATGGTTCAATATACTAAGTTGAAAGGATGTTCATACCCTTGACGACACCAAGTGAATGTATTCCGATGATATAAGAAAAACCAAGAAAACTCCCAAACGACTCATCTAAACGAAAAGTTGTCGTCATAATCGCACAATGTTATCTTATTTTTCAATCGCTGAGATTCCGCTCGAGCGTTGCGGACCCGGTCAAACCAAGCTCTATTCGTGCAGGACTTGGTTTACGTGCAATCGAGACAATTCCAAAAAATGTAGGATCTTCTGCCGAATCGTTGTGTTTAAAGGCAGTGCCCTGGCAAAATTTCGTTATCCGGTTTTTCATCTCTACGGAGCCTTCTCGCCATGCTGAAGCCATATCTGAGCTTTTCAGCGTTTGAAAACTGCGAAAATGAACTTTTTCCAGAGCTTTCCGTGTCTGCGTTTGCTCTAAATTACGTGTATAAAGTGGGTGAAGTCTGAAAATGGGCGGCGTCGTAAGACTTCCGGAGCGGATTTTAAGCTATCCAGAAGCGCTTTTTTGCTCCAACCTTCACTAATAGTCTAGTTAGAGGGTCTACCATCGCAACAATGTAAAATCCCGGTACCCATCATTTTGAGGGGACGCTGCCTTTAAGAGGTGCAAGTAAAAGGAAAAAATAATCAAGGTAGATGAGAGGAAACGAAAGCGGCATAGTACGTCTGCGATAGGTCACACATATCTCGAACTTATATGCGATGCCTTTTTCTCAATAAAGTGTGCAACATCATCTATCTGAACTATGAAAAATCAACAAATTTTTGATAAAAAGACTAATATCTTGTGAGACCTTTGGAAAAGTCATGTAATAAGAAACATGGCACGCAATCATGTGCATGTTTTTTTTTTCTCAACGCACAGCATTGGCCAAGACACCTCATCATTCTGACATTACCCATCAAGGCCCTGATATTAGTCACACATAATTCAGCTCATATGCAATGCCTTTTTTTTCAATAAAGTGTGCAATATCATTTATCTGAACTATGAAAAATCAACAAATCTCCAATATGAAGTTGAATAGACTTTGTGAGACCTTTGAAAAAGTCATGTAGTCAAAAACATGAAGCTCAAAAGCAAGAAATATTGAAAACGATCATGCGCATGTTTTTTCTCGACGCACAACATTGGCCAAGACACTCATCATTCTGACATTCCCTACCAAGGCCCTATTTTTTTTTACTAAAATAGCTGGAAAGTCTGTGTTATGAGCTTTGTTACAAAACTGATAACGGTTGCAATCTTTACAGAAAACTTCATGCTGAGGCGACGTTCATCAAAGCTGGCCGAAACACACACTCGTCGCATCGCCTATTCACAGAGACCACTTACGTATCCAAAGGCACCATACATGCATCTCAGCTCAGGGATAAGGTAAGTACATGGTAGGTAGTCGATATTGAATTATTTTTCAGAAGTTTGCTCAAATGAACCACTCAGTGCGCTAATAACAACGTTTACATTCATTTGAGTTGGTAACTGTTTGCTCTAATCACAAATGTTTATTGTTCTGAGAATTATAGTTTTCGTGTTCTGAGAATAATAATCGATTTTGTCGCGATGTTATTATGTAAGAGTACATTAATGCTGATACATAGAACTTGCTATCTGCAGTGTTTTGTTAATGGGATTGTCATAAGGTCGCGTTACTCGCATTGAACGAGGAAAATTTAGTGTCATTCGATCCTTTAACCACATTACCATGGCATTAATCCACTAGTCTGTCGATCTGTCAGTTGATGCTACAAGATTACACTAAAAAATGACACACACTGCTAATGCACGTGGGAGCTGCATAACAGGTAAGGTTCATTAATGTAATTGGCTAGCAACCTCACTATTGAAGAACGATTGCAAAAGCAATACCATTACATATGTTCACCTGATACCTTTCATGATGGCCAGTGCGAACGCTGCTTCGCAAAGGTACGCACTGGTTCTATAAGTAAATTCGTAAGGCTCTCCTTTGAGACTGAGAGATATTGATGAACTTCGAAGTGATGCAATTTGCGATTCAGCTTATCGTACATCTATAAAAGCATTTTAGAGAGGGAACCTGGTATCGCTATGGTTAACATGTCATATTTCTAAATTGAGATTCACGGCAAACTGAGTCTTTAGTTTGTTCTTAGCGGCTGAATACTGCGCAGGAAGTCCTTTGAAGAGGAGGTAAGAACTTTCTCAGGATCTGTATTCCTAGCACTTTTATTGTGGTTCTTCGGTAATAAAACCACTCTGTAAATTAGAATATGCAAATTTCGTGCGATTAAGGCATAGACAAGAAAAATTTAGGAGTAGGCCTTTCTGGTAAACTCGAAACGGACTATCCGATTTCTCTTTTTCTCGCTCTTAAGATCGCCATATATTTTAGCTTTGGCTAAATCAATGCTTGGATCAAAATTTTGGCCATAGAGATGTTCCTCACGTTCATAAAACTTCTGGTCTTCCCATCGAAGGATTACTATAGGACTCTTGTGAGGAGGGGCAGCCGAACCAGGCATCTTACGAAATATTTGCAATTCTCACCTACTTGATAAAATTTTGTTCGCATGTTCTTGTATGTAGAGTTTCTGTGAACAGTGCTAATGAATTGTGCAAAACCTAAGCCATTTCAAAGTTTACACGCTTTAGTTAGAAATACTATAGAACAACTACTCCACAGTTTGTGTCGCAGAATTCTAATCCTTGGCTAATCACAACGTGTGTTTTAGGTGAAAAGGATCCGCTTACTTGGTAGATTGATGGGTTAGGACTTCTTCAGTAAGCGAGTTCTTTTCACCAGAAATGGCGAATGTTGAGAATAGGGGCTGGTTGCTACTACCAAAGCGTGTAACAACCCAAGTTGCAAAGATTTCATTTCGACGAAATTGGCCACTAGTAAAACTTGGTTAGATCAGCTGATCTGGATTGAGGGCCTCATATGGGGTTCGCAAGATGTAACTAGCGTCTACTCCCACAGCCGTGAAAATACGACCTAATCTGACAGGCGAGGGTCAGGGCACGTGTCGCGACGATCTCATCTGACTTCCGTAACAGCAGCTATGATGGATCTTACAAAAATAGTGTGTAAATGATGAGATGCAGAGGAAAATCCCGTAATTTGTTTGCGAGTAACTTACGGGACGCGTAATGTGACATTGGATTGCGGACTAGAGTACAAAACTGCACATTAGGCTACAAAACTGATGCCATTGCTCAAAATCCAATCAAAGATCCATATAAGAATCTCGGATAACAGTCTTCTGACAGGGTTCAACTTCTAACATGATGACATCTAGAGACAACGATGTTTTTGATTGTATTGTAACACAGCTTATTTGAATTTGCCCGAAGTTTGAATTGTTTCCATTAATATCACAAGATGATTAATGGCCAGCGCGCAGACCGCACGCAGTTGACCAACCTGCCAAAATCCCATTTTGCGTTCCTTTTATATCGGATGATTTCAGTAGAGCAATAAGAAGAAGCTTACGCTACGCCTGGCTTGAAGAGCACGTTAGGGTTGTAGTTATCCCGCCCCCCAATCTCAAAAGACAATTGGTACGTAATCGAGCATACGACCGCCTGTGCCCAAGCCCTCAATGCGCTATATGTCCATATGGCAGGCCAGGTGATTGCTTGGAGTCGGGGGTGGTCTATGTTTTCACATGTCAGCTGTGTGGGGATCAATACATAGGGGAAACTGGTAGACCTCTATGCGTTAGGATCAAGGAGCACTTGGATGGCCTCGAAAAGTCTAAGTTGTCCACAGCCCTAGGTGCACATCGCAGGCAATGCCATAGCGACAACTTATTTCCAACAACAGTCACGATCTTGTCGCACGAGCCCGAACTAATAGCTCGCAAAACGTTGGAGGCTTTTTGGATCACCTCAAAAAACCCAAAAATGAACCGTAAGGACGAATGCATCGCCGTGACCAGAGAGCTGGCCCCATATCAGACCCTCTGTGGGTTTTGATCTACGGGGTAGGGTCAGATACTTAAGAGGTCGCAAACTAATAAACAGTTAGGCGCACTCGGTGGTTTGCTCACATAACGGCTCTCTCGGTAAGCGCTAACTCAGTTCTTCATGACGCTGTTGTCGTTTCAGCTCCTATCCATGACGGTGGATTATATCTTGTCATCGGATAGGTGTTTGAGAGAATAGCACAATGTTTTGTGATCTTTCCAGGCTCTGAGAAAGGCGACGACGCCGAAACGTACTGACATTCATGGTGACAGGCTCAAGAAGAATATAACAGTGATCACAAGATGATTGATTACTCGACTTATGTTGTGGAATCCGTCAGCTTCTTATACATAGCCAGAAACATTGCTATTACAGTTTTGTGCTGTTGGTGGCCAGGTAACGGAGTGTGGTGGGACCTGAGGCGAACATAGAGTAATTGATTGTGTACCTTTGTAAAAAGATGCCCAAACCTGACCCTCTTTGCGATCTCCTAGGAAGCTTTAGCTTTGCGACCGTCAGCAACATCGGCTCCATTCTCGTTGCGAAATCTATACTTCGAACAAATAATGTGATCGCTTTGCTGGAACACAGGGGAAGGATGGAAGTGTTTCTACTGCCAAGTTACGAAGAAGCAGCTCATTAGCTTGACAAGATATATTAGCTTTCCCGAAAGTTCTGTCTGTTTTTTCATCGCTCACCAAAACTTACAGAACACCAATCCATGGATGACTTAGGTATTTTTCAATTCCGATTTTTATAGTCATTCTTACAGTTATAATTGCTCTCTGATCTACCCTGTATTTGCAATGTTATCACTAGGCTTTTTGAGCAGCTCAGCAGTAACGCCGAATTTTTCCAGAATTAAAAAAATTTTTATCCTGATGTTTTCAAAGAGCGCTGGTTATTAGAAGAGCAAATCTTTCGCTATATTGCACGTATTTTAGATTGCGTAAGCCGCGTTTACCAAGTCCGTTATAATGATTTATTCAATAAAAACCACGGCTTCTTGATTACGTTTGCCACGTAAAAGGACTGAAAATTCCAAAATTCTGCTTTTTTGAAGGAAATCAAACTTGGTTATGTTGCATAAATGATGTTTAGCAAGAATCATGCTTCAATTCACAGAAATGCAAAAGCTTTC